AAAAAAAAAAAAAAAAAAAAAAAAAGAGTTAATAATTTAGGTGTGAAAAATAATACTAGAGAAATAAGAAATTGAGACTTTTTAAAATAATTGAATTGCAGTTTGTGTTTAAAGAGATCCTCAAGAAGCCAGACCTGATGGCACATGCCTATAATCCCAGTACTTAGGCTGAGACAGGAGAATCACAGTTAGTTTGAGGCCTGGGCTACATAGCAAGACTGTGTCTCAGAAACAAAAAGCCAGCAGGCCTTGAAGAATGATGAATGTCAATTTGAGGTTACCATTGAAGAAATTAAGACGTGAAATGAGAGATACACAGGAGTTTGGTGCTTATGGCATTATTTTATTTCTTAAGCAGGGTGCTAAGTGTAGAGGGGTCTCTAATAATCTTCATACCTTTCTGTCTGCCTTAAATATTTAATAAACAGACTCCTGAAGCTTTAGTGAACCATTAGTTGAGTAATCACAATGACTTATTGTCTTACTTTCTCATTGCTAGGACAAAAACCCAGCAACAAGTTAAAGGAGGAAAGGTTTATTTTAGCTCATAGTTTGTACAGGGTTTGGGTCCATAGTCAGCTGGCTCCAATGCAGGGCAGCATAGCAAAGAGGCACAGCAGAGGAGAAACAGTCCATAGTTTGGAAAGCAGGAAGCAGTGTGACTTTCTTCTTCTTCCCTTTTTATTTTGTCCAGGCTACAAGCCTTTTGGTTGATGCCACCCACACCCAGCATGAATCTTCGCTCTTCTTACACCAACAACTGTGCTAAACAAATTGGCCAACTACTCCAGTATCATGTACCCGTGATGTAGTATCTCTCACCTATGAGCTAGTCACTCCTAAAAGCCCCATCTGTGAATGCATGAGGCTCTGGTGGGACGTCTAGGTATACGCCATAACACTTGGGGAAGCTGCAAACTAACATCTGAGGGCTGGGTACAGCGTAGTGGTAAGAGTGCTTTACTAGCATGCCCGAGACCCTGGGGTATTTCCCCAGCACCCTAAAAATAAGCAGAACCTAGGGTCTGATAATATTCTTCTGTTTGTGGCCCTTAACAGCCCGTGTATGGGGGAGTGTTCCTTTCTGAGTACCTCATTTGAAATTTGACACTGTAGATGCACACAGATAGTAAGATGTGTTCAGAAAGATGTGAATGTTTAGATCAGTGGAGAATTGAGCAAGGGAAAATGTGATCATTATCTTTAGCAGCTTGAGGTATCATCAGGTAGCAAATCCGGTAGTTTTCTTCTTCAGAAGACCAAAAACGGGGCCATTGTTAGAAGCAGATTTCAGCATAGTGGAAGGAAGCATATTCTCTAATAGCCTGCCTTATGGTAGATTTGGTGATTTGAGAGATAGCTGTCCGCCAGAAGCATTCAGGATTGTCTGGACCTAACCAGCTAGGGACACTGTAAGAAACCTTTTTGTGATGAGTAGATGTGCCTAGTTGATCTCTAGAGCCCCTCTTAATTCTTTGATTCTAAACCAGTGACGGCTCAGCCAGTGTATAATCTTTGGGATTATAGTTCGGCACTGGTTTAGAAGCCTTTGGGACAGAAGCCTTGCCACATATTGATGCCATCCAGTTTAACTTCTGATGCTGTGGGCATCAGGTCTGTGCCTACAGGAAGGTGATATAGGTGATGCATGGAGATTATACGCACACATAAACAGTGGAAATGTAAGAAAGGGAGCCAGAAGTTCTGTGAGCCACCACAGTATACATTGGTACCTTGATTCGTGAATTTAATTCTTGCCACAATTCTGGTTGCAAACTGAATTGGATGAGAACCAAATCAAATTGATTGGTTAGGTTCAGTGTTGACCTCGGGGAAATTTGATTCAGTTTGCAACTGGGATTATAGAAAAAAATAAGTTTATGTACTGAGGTACCACTGTAGTTTGCTTGAGATGGAAAATCAGAAATTTTGAGGCTGAGGCTAAGTTCTTGCATTTAGACTAATTTTTACTTTAAGTTTTAGCTTCTTTTTTGTCCCTCTATTCTGTCATTACTACCTTCTTTTCTATGAAGTAGACATTTTCTAATATGTCATTTAAATTCTCTTATTTCTTTCACAGAACTTTTTTTAAAGTTATTTTCTTAATGATGTCCTGGTGATTGCTATGAGCATCTTAATTTAAAACAGTCTAGTTCAGATTGATACCCACTTAATTCTAATAGTAACTCCAAAAACTCTGCTACAGTATTTTGTCTTGCGTATGTTGGTATCCTTGGATGGTGTTCCACAAGTCTCCGAGGCTCTGTTCGTTTACTTCAGGTTTTCTTGTTTTTTTCTTTCCCTGATAGACAGTCTCAACTGACCTATCTTCAAATTTACTGATTTTTTTTTTTTGCCAGATCAGATTTGTAATTGAGTGCCTCTAAATAAATTTTTGTTCCATTTACTTTGTTTCACCTCCAGAACTGCTATTTGCTTTTTAAATAATTTCTATCACTACCAATATTCTACTTTGTGAGACATTATTGTTACATGTTGCTTCTATTTCTTTATGCTTGCTTTCTTTTAGTATTTGGAACATTTGTAATAGCTGATTTAAAGTCTCTACTTATTAAATCCATTGTCTGGACTTTCTCAGAGACATTTTCTATTGACTGCTTGTTTTCCCCACACGTAGATCTTACTGTCGTATTTCTTTGTATGTCTTATACTTTTTTATTAGAAAATGTTATGTTATTTTATTTAAAATAAACATGTCACAACTCTGGAAACCAGATTATCCTACTGCCACAGAATTTGCTGTTATTGTTGTTTTTGGCTGCTGCTATTTGTTAAGTGACTTTCCTGGACTCTCTGATCTGTGCTGTGTTCTTTATCAGACGTGTCCACTAGGGTCTGCTTGGTTAGCTAGAGAGTGGACAGAGACTTCCAAAGTGCATTAAGCCAGTAAGTCGCCGGGCTTTGTAGAGGCAGTCTGTATGCCAGGCACCCCTTCACCATCCCAGCAGTTTACAGCTCTGCCGTAGCCTTTCCCTCCTGCTTATGCAGAGCTTCAAGGTCAGCCAGAGTTGAGAGATCAGGGCAGGCCCACAGTGCTACACAGACACAGGGCACTTCAGACTGCAAGGATCTTCAAATACCTGTGAATGTCCCATTTCCATTTTTTCTTTTAAGCTTTTGGGTCAGTTTGTCCTTAGCCTGAACCAATATTAATGCCTCAGGCAGCTACAGTGTTAAAGTTATCACTGATTGTTTTGAACCAATGCCTGGAGATAGGACAGAGAAAGGACTCAGGTCAGATAAAGACAAGCCTTGGGCATAGGCTTCCCAGCCAGCTGTCAGGCAGGTCATGTGCTGACAGTTATTTCTCTGGGTGTTGGATTTTCAGGGAGTTCTAAACCCATCTGGCTTTGTCCGTGGCTGCCAGTCTAGTAGTTTTTATATCAACCATGGTTGTAAGGCTGTTGATTTTGAAGACTGCCATGGAGTTAGAGAGAAAAACGAATAAATGCAAGTTGAAACGGCTCACAGGTCAGTTCTTACTGAGATTCAGCCATTTTTTTTTCTTTGAATGTATGCGCCTTAGCAGGTTTTAAGTCTTCCATCAGTTTTCAGAGCCCTGAAAAAGGTGATGGTGACCATTTTTGGCAGTTCTGTATTCTTGCTGCTTTTATGGAGAAGAGGTTTTCCGGGGTGTTTACTCCGCCATTCTGCAAGTTAGCTCCCTATAAGTGCTTCATCAGCCAAGGTGCCCCTGGGCTTTGGGTCTACCCTGTACAAACTTTCTCTCTCACCCTGTCTCATACTGTCTCTGCTTACTCCTGTCTGTGAGGTCGTGAAGTGGTCCCATGGGCATGTTGAAGAGCACGGGTTCCTGTAAACTACTGGTCCTCACCCTCAGCTTATTGCACTGGGTTTCAGCCTGCAAATAGGCAGCAAGCATGGAGCCCTTGACCCTGTTAGCAGCTCATGTTGTGTACGGATCATGTTAATCTGCTGTGCCAGTTTCTTATCTTGTCAGCAAAGTCCATCTTTTGCGGCCTGGTCAGAATTATACGTTATCCTATGATGAAGTAAATCCATTGTTCCCTTAAATTAGAGTACTAGTAGCTAAAACAGCCATTTCTTCTAGATACTGTTGGGGTTTGAGATTTGGGCCAGATAAAACATTAATTTCTTTCAGGTCTTAACAGTTCTGGTTAACAGCTGGAGATTTGTGTTAAATATCATTTACATCTATATGTTTAAAATCTTAAGTTCTCATATATTTATGAATTAGAATTTTTTTTATATAACCAGAAATTTGACTTATGAGCATTTATTTTATTGTAGCCATTTATTTCAGAGGCCATTCATCTCCCAGTCTGTATAAAAGAGGAATACCAGTGCCACTTTTAAACAGTAAAGAGACTCTGTTCTGAAAAGCTGTGTATGATTACGTATTTAGTTAATAACAAGTTTGGGTTTTTTGCTACATTTTATGTATTTGTGTGCTTTTTCCCCCTCTCTCATTTGTTAGGTAATAATTTAAGCAGGCAGTCTAGAATGTGATATTCCATGGTGCTGTAACAGTTTTGAAATCTTGAAAGATAAAACTGGAAACATTTGCTTGTATTTTTTTCCACCTCAGAGTGTTTTGTTAATGAGACATTTTATACTGCCATAAACCCAGGGCAATAATATAGGTGTTGATTGATTTTTGGATGGCAAGAGGCCTCTCTAATTGCAGAGTTTGACATTTGTGTCACTTACGCTGTTTTAGGTGAGCAAGACGTGGAAGGTGATTGCCGAAGATGAGGTGCTGTGGTACAGGCTGTGCCATCAGGAAGGACACCTTCCGGAGAGCAGCATCTCGGATTATTCAGGTTGGAAGCTCATCTTCCAAGAGTGCCGAGCCAGGGAACACATGTTAAGAACCAACTGGAAGGTAGGTAGTGGCCATCAGCGTTACCTGTGGCCGACTGGCCTGCACAGACCCAGAGGCCAAGCCTCCCGTCACTGGGGTGGGCGGGGGTGCGACTGCCAGAAGCAAAGGGAGCCGGCTGTGCTGAGCAGCCCCTTCACTCTGTGACTTGTTGCCCATTTTGTTCTCCCTTAGAAGATCTGTGCCCGCTCCATGTACAAGGTTTGGGAGCCTCTCCCAGGAGAGGAAGGCTGAGCTTGAGCTGCCTGTCTCCTACCCTTTGCTGATTAGTCATGTGCAGTGTAGCCCCCGTTTCCTTTCATCACTTCCCCAGAGGGACTGAGAAGGTGAAAGCGAAGGCACCTGCACCTCAGAGGCACTGCAAATGCTGCTGCAGTAGCTCTAAGAGGGAGTTGTTGCGTGGCTCTGCACACTGTCTGTTCTTCCCTTGCGTGATCCACTGGCTTCCTGCCCCAGCATTTATCACTTTAAGTCTCTACAGAAATATTAGATGACAGCAAAGAATTTGCTCAGAAAGTGTTTCTGTAGGAGATATGTCGAGAAACATGTCACGTAGAGCTGTGTGAGGCACGACAAGGTGGCAGCGTGTGGCCACGCTTCTTTCCTACCTGGGCAGCTGGATAGTCAGTTGTAGAGAAGGGAGAGTGTTGTGCTCTTTCCTTGCCTGTTAAGGTCGATCCTAATAGTCTTTGAGATGAACAAGCTTTTGCTCATTACTGATGGTGACATATTGCTGTGTGCATTTCTGTCCCTAGTCACCTCATAACCTGATTAGTGACCGATAAGTTTGATCAGGGCAACCTCTTGCAGTTCCAGCAACATCAGTGAGAGCAGCGTTTCTCTAACTCAGGGTTGCTCAACCTGGCATGAGTGACCAGGGGCCAGCTCTTTGTTTTTGTGGGGGACTGACCTGTGCGTTGCAGATGTCAAGCCACATCCCTCCCTGGCCTCTGCCCACTTGGTGGTGACAACTCAAAATGTCTTCGGATATCCCCAGATTGGGTGTGTAGAGGATCACCCCAAACCGTCACCCACTGATCCTTAGGGGAATTAGCCTAGCTTTTCTTTTTTAGGGTGCTGAAGTACACTGCTAAGTAAGTCATGCTGGCCCCCTGCTGTCCATTTGCATCCACAGCTCTGGACACAGATGAGAGATTTGACAAAGTTGCTCAGAAAAACGGGCCTGGGTAGAGGAGGAAACAGAGGGTCTGGTCCTAGTGAAAGGGGCCACAGGTTAAGGAAAGCTTGAGTGTTGGGTTAACTCTGCCTTTCTGTCCAGAAAGGAGGGATACTTTCCAGATTTGTGAGCATGACAGCTGCCAACATTTAGTACCCCCTGGCTCAAGTTTAGAGATGTCAGACCCTGAAAGAAAGCAGCAGCCAAGTTTTTGGTTCCTCTTTGATGGTAGAAAAAGCCAGGAAAACAGGCTGTGCATCTTCATTTGGACAGGAAGTGGCAGAAGCAAAGGGGGGTTAAAGACTCACCTTGTAGTGTGTGGCACCTAATAACAGTTTACAAGGTATATGCAACTTACTGAGCATTTATTGTTTTTCTCTGTGATGCACAAAACCATCTGTGCTCAGTAATTGGTGGTCCACTGAGTGAACTGATTAGAACTGCAGGCAGAATGCGAAGGGTGCTTTTGCAGTTTCAGACCCAATTCCTCACATTATTAACAATGGGGGCTGCATGGTTGAAATTTTAAATGGAGTCTCATTACATGTAATAATGGGATTCTTAGTGTAATTCTAGAAGGAAAGAACACATTATCAAAATGTGAGAGAGAATGTGGGCAAACTGCTTAACCTTTGCGTGCCTGCATTTTCTCATCTCTAGAGTGGGGTGAGAGTGACACTGCTCCTAGCTGTGGCAGGGGTGACCATTGTGATAACATCTACCTTGCTGCTGCTCCTTCTGTGGAGGCTGGCCAGTGCTCTGTGCTCAGGCAGAGTTGGCTCTGGAAACGTGTAAGCCTTTGCATGTGGACAGAGTGGTTCATCCTGTCAGTGGTCAGCTTCAGGAGGGCTTGGGCAGCTGATTTGGATTGGTGTCTCCTGGATCAGTGTGGAGAAACCACAGAAACACTCCAGAATTCTCAGGTCCCTCCATATATGGGATGACTTATAAATGCATGAACTTGCCTGATCCTGCAGTTCAGAGTGGACCTGGAAATGGCTTGATAAAGTGGATTTGGGGTGTCCTTCTTCCTGGTGTTTGTGTTTGCTTTTTTCACCCTGGCATGCTAGAATCTCTCTTTAGCTAGAATATCCGTGTGGAGTTGGACCAAGATGGAGAGAGGCCGTAGGACAGAAATAGTAAGTCTTGCAAGCATACAGGTTTCATTTTAGGCTCTCCTTTTCTTTCAATAGCCCTACCCTCTAAAGTGCTCTTTTGCCAGGCGTGGTGGCACACGCCTGTAATCCCAGCACTTGAGAGGCTGAGGCAGGAGAATTGCTGTGAGTTCGAGATCAGCCTGGACTACAGAGTGAGTTACAGGTCAGTCTCAACTACATAGTGAGATCCTGTCTCAAAAAACAAACAAACAAATAAAGTGCTCTTTTATTGTAAATGTGTTTTCCTTCCTGTCCCCATAGCTCTGCTAGCTGGATAGCTCCTTTTGGATGTGTCCAGTTTTGCCCCTCAGCTTTACCTTTGGCCCTTGTATTAAGTTAGGACCATTCTGCAAATTATCTTGTCCAATTTCTGGAGTAGCTTAATACTATCTGCTTGATAAAGGTTGATTTTAATGAAAAAAATGTCATATTTTTCCCCAATAACATAGTAATACTAGTAGTTACCACTTACTGAACACTTGCTATAGGCTAAGAACTCTGCATGGGACTTTTGTGTACTATTTATATAATCTTCATGCCAGATCAGCAAAACTGAAATTGTGGATCACTTAACTGCTCTTGAACCCTATACCTGTATTTATGATTGCTTTTGCCCTATCTTAACTCTTTCCAACCTTCCAGTGTGAATACTTTATTCTCTTTACTATATTTTTATTTTAAACATAATTTTTATTTTAAAAATAATTGTTTGATATCTATTTTCTCAATCAATAATCATAGTAAAATAATTCAAAAGTCACTCAAGAATACACAGTAAAAAATATTCTGTCCCTCTCTTCTTCTTCTACCCAGTTCTCCTCAGCAGTAGCCCAACTTAGGGTTTTCT